CGCCGTCTCTGGCTTCGCTTCTCTCCATGGTCCTCCTCCCTCATCTGCTCCCTGGGCTCTGCGGACACCCTCTTCCCCGACCTCTCCACCAACGGCCCCCTCCTCAGAGCAGCCAGAAACATCTTCAGAATCAGTCATCGCCTCCCCCGCTCCCGTGACACTCCCTGTGCTGTCCCCTGGTTTTATTTTTTCTTAGCACTGAGGACAATCTATAAATATCTGGCTAATGTGGTTCTTGGCGCCTCCCACCCCCAGTAGCACTTAAGCCTCGCTCCCGCAGGTGGTCCCAGCTCACAGAGCTCGGCCCGGCCCGCCAAGGGCCGTCCGGGGGCCAATCACGCCTCACGCCGTGGCGCTCGCTGGCTCCGCCCAGTGGCTCAGCCTCCAAGACACCGCCATTGCCTCTCCCACGGGGTCGACACCGGGGGGCGGGGCCGCGAAGGCAGAACAGGGAGCCCAACAGCTGGGCTGCGGCGTCTGCCATCACCTTCCACTCAGCCAGCCCCTGGGTTCGAGGCCCCAGGACGGCTGGGCTGGCAGCGGCAGAGCCCCAGCCGGCGCTCGTCTCCCGTGTGCACCCCCAAGCCCCCCTGCCCCATGCACGGTCCGCCCCACTCACCCTCGCTGAGGAAGGCATCCCAGACGCGCAGCACCGTGGGGAAAGGCAGGGAGCGGGCGAAGAGGCACAGGAACCACTCGGGCAGGTACAGCAGGGGCCCGACGCCCACCTGCTGCAGGTGCTTGTGCGCGCGTGGGAGCAGCCGCCGCAGCAGGGCCGCGAACACCTGGGCGTCCAGCTGCACTGCCTCCTGCGGCCCCGTGGTCAGCTGGCCATGAGACGTCCACCCCAGCCCAGCCCCGGTCCCCAAGGCCTCCGCCCGCCCGCCCAGCCCCCTCCTGTCCACATGGGTCCCCTCCTGTGCCTCCCCACTCTCCATCTCACCTTCCCTCCCATCCCACCTCTTACCATGTGGGGCCCATAGTAGCCCGGGAGGTAGACCTCACAGATCTGCACTAGGCACCAGAAGGCCTCCTGAGGGGAGGGCCGGGCCATGAGCACTGGCCTCGAGAGGGAGGCAGGGCAGGAGGACGGGGCCGGGGTCGGGGCCTGGGAACCTAGGACCAAGCAGCTTAGGGCTGCCCTGAACCCTGCTCAGTGCCTGGAAGGCTCTTCTCAAAGGCCTCCTGCCTCTGCCCCAGTTGGAGGCCTATTGATGGCTTTGGGGGACCGGAAGTCATAGGGGTCAGAGTGTTGGATTTGAGGGTGCCAGGGTTGGAGCTCACTGATCAAGTATTGGGAGGGTCCCACAGTTCAAGTCCTAGGCTCCTGGGGTCAGGGGTCATGAGGTCAAAGCAACAAGGCCCAGACTCCTGGGTCATTGGGCGTAAGGGGACAAGGGTCGCAGGGTTCTAGGGTCAAGGACATTGGAGTTGAAGCTTCCTGAGGTTGGTGGGCATGATGCCCTGAACCACTGGGACAGGGTCTGGGTAGTCACGGAGCCCAGGCTTCTGAGGCCAGAGGCCCTGGGGTTGGGAATCAGTGGCCCAGGGCTCAAGAGCACTGGGGTTTGGTATCAGGGTCTTGGGTCCCTGGAACAAGGTCAAGGGCCACTCACCTCCGGAGGTAGGTGCATGAGCAGCACAGCGGCCACAGGGCCCTGGGCCTGGCAGTAGCCCTGCTCCGGCCGATACAGGGTGTAGGCTTTGAGTACCTGCAGGAGCCCCTGCTGCCTGTGCCAGGAGACCCTGTTAGGGCCAGTCCCCGGCCACCCTTCCCCCTCCAACGGCCCCTGCCCCGGCCTCAGCCTCCCGAGGCCTTGCCAGCTCCCCTGAGATGCGGTGGGTGGGGTCCCTGGGCGTCCCTGGCTCGTACCCGTGACCCTGGGGCGACACAAACATCTCATGCAGAGGGAACTGGCGATGCAGGTCCCTGCCGATGGTCTCCATCCACTGGGGGTCTCCAGGGGCCAAGGCTAGCTCCTATGGGGGGTCAGGCAGGCAGGTGTGAGGACTCAGAGGGGCTCTGGGAAGAGGACGCAGGATCCCGGCCAAGTCTCTCACCTGATAGGTGCCAGGGCTGTTCTCTTGACACACGTGGGCCCCACACAGTAGGGGCCAGCACCGGGCTCGTAAGGCTGAGGGGATGCCTTTGCGACACTGTATCTTCACCTGTGGGAGAGACCCTGGGTTCTGTGAGGCCAGGTGAGCTGGCCCCATCTGCTCCCACTGGCAAGCCCCAAGCATAACGCACTGTCGGGAAGGGGCCACTTGGGGTGGGAAGGGAGAAACGCAGAGGCCACTGGGTCACAGGATGGGTAGCTTCCGTGGGGGCAGAGGGGCTTGGGCAGGAAGCCTGGGGGGAGCCCCTGTCCCGCTCACCTTCTTGTACCGCCGGGACATGGTCTTCTCCCAGTGTGAGGTCATCTCCACCCACTTCATCTCCCGCTGGCGGATGAGGTCTGCAGGGGGCTGACCCGGGCTGGGGGCACATGGCACAGGTGTCCAGGTGCTGGGCAGCCGTTCCCTGGAGCCCACACTTGCCACCCCGCATGCTGCCCGGGTAAGCCCAACCTTTGCCAGTGGTTGTCATGGGGACAAGAAAGGATGTGGCTCTGATGTGGGCGGAAACAGGAGAGACTGAAGGGGTGTGGGGGAGTGTATGTCGGGGGAGGGGCTGGCTAGCTTTCCCCCCCAGGACAGGGACAGATAAGTCCCAGTGGGTGCTGCTTGGACAGAGCCCTGGACTGGACTCCGGAAGTCTCTGAGTTTTGAGACTTGAGGTCTCTGATCTGCTCTGTGACCTGAAGCAAGTGCCTGTCTGTCTCTGGACTGTCTTTTATGTCTGTACATTCAAGGGGAGGAGAGAAAGAGATACTGTGGGTTCTGTGGTCTGGATTTGGGAATCCTGGGCCAGAGGTTAAAAGGGGAAGGATGTTCAGCCGCAGTGGTGGGGGTTAAGGGGTACAAGAGACAGACAGGGACTCCCTCAGCTATTCCTGTTTTAGGATCCACCTGGAGCTTGAGAAGTGATACTGGCTGAGTCCCGTTCCCTACCTCTAGACCTTCCCAGGATACTCGATGTTGGCACCTCACCCGTCTTCAGCCCTCGGACCCATCCCGGTACCCCCCATACCCCCCACTTACCCTGGCTCTGCTGAGCTGCCCCCAATGAAGCCATAGCGGTCAGCCTGGCGATATGGGCTGGGCCCACTCAGCTCGGAGTCGGACCCCAAAGAGCTGGAGTCATCCTGTAGCTCGGAAGGCTGCTCCAGGTCCTCCCCCAGGCCCCGGGCCACCGAGCCCCGGATCCCAGAAGCCATCAGCTGCAAGATGCAGGGAGAGCCAGCGTGAGGGGCAGTTCCAGGCCAACCTGGGGGGCCAGGACCCCAGCTGGCCAGGATGTGGAGTTGGAGGGCATAGGTTTCGGGATACCTCACCAAGGCCTCTATGTCCCCTCTTTTTCGGCGGGGGCGCTATGCCCTGAAGCGGCAGGAAGGCCGGACCTCTGCACAGAGCCCCAGCCCTGGGCCCAGCCGCTGCCCCAGCAGCCCAGCTCACCTCCAGGCTGCACCTCACCTCCCCCTCTCACTTCCTCCTCAACCCCAGCCTGGGCAGCCCGCAGGGGGCCCCTCCCAAGTGGGGGGGGTCACCCTTCCTCTCTGAGGCTCTTCCTGCCCAGCGCCCCTAAGCCACGGCCCCTCCCACCCTCCCGTGGGGCGGCTGACTTGGGTTCCCAAGCCTGTGTGATGATGGGGCCAGGCCACGGAGAGGTGGTGAACCTTGGCCACCTCCAACTTTGAGGTCTCTGGCATAGAAGACATCCCAGTTTCCAGAACAACTATGGTCTATTTACTGTTTGTTTCTTCAAAGTTACGCTTTTAAAGCCCACGTAATGCGTGTGCGTTAGACGTGCTATTCCCAAGGTAGTGATAGGACTTTCTAGCACGTACCACCGTAGTGTGCTGTGGACCAGAACGGGCTCGAAGGTCGGGGACAAGTTAGCTGTCTTTGGGTCTGTCCGGTCGGCCGCCGCCCGGGGGGCTGCCTGGGAGACTCCGCAGGACGGACCCCTTCGCGAATGGGAGCCCACCGTCTGGGGCCAGCCCCTTGTTATCTCGGAATTCCAAAAACGCTCTGCAATTCTGGGACTTAACCCGCAGCGTTTGGGGAGGCAGACAGGGCTGGTTCGTCGCGGTTATTAACGCGCCCGTACCACCCTTCGTTCCAGGGAAGGGGTGGAAAGGGATGTTCAGACTTTGAAAAACAACTTCCACGGAACTTTTGGTACCAGACCTCCGATCGCAGCTGGGTGACTCCTCAGGGCCGGAACCAGCCAGGCCCCGCCCCGCGCGCCTCAGCCAGGCCCCACCCCCCGCCGCACAGAACTCCGCCCACCGTCCAGGCCCGGCCCTCAGGGCCGCTCTGCGTCGCGCCTCCCGTCCTGCGGCGGCGCTAGAGCGCGG